TTTTGTAGAGATGGGCTTCACCATGTTGGTCAGGCTGGTCTTGAACTCCTGACCTTGTGATCCGCCCGCCTCTGCCTCCCAAAGTGCTGGGATTACAGACGTGAGCCACTGCACCTGGCTGTAATTTTTGTATTTTTAGTATAGATGGGGTTTCACCATGTTGGCCAGGCTGGTCTTGAACTCCTGACCTCAGGTGATCCACCCGCCTCAGCCTCCCAAAGTGCTGGGATTACAGGCATGAGCCACCGCACCCAGTCATAACGCAAAGATTTCTAATGGTTAAAGTAATCAAACCTCAAATTATTTCCTAATTATGAAAGCTGAAACTAAGCCACGGTCATGGATGCTCTAACAGCTTCGATGACAACATCAGGCTCTGGCAGGAACAGACAGAGAATCCTCAGGCTCTAGACTGCTGAGTCACAGCCTGGAACAAGAGGACCCCACAAAGACAGGCTCCTGACCACCCCCACCCCCACTCCCACTGGCATGGAAGAATCAGGCCCCTGCCGCTCCTTTCCTCCCTGTAGCAAAGGGTTCAGACCTTAGAACAGCTGCCAGCAGCCCTCCCTGGGGCCTGCCTTGCAGGAGGGGAGTGGCCAGCAGTGAGAAACAGCAGCCGCAGCAGCACAAGGAGGGAGGTGGGCAGAGCACGGGGAGGCTGGAGGCAGGGGCCAGGGCTGGCCTCACCCCCTCTCCACCACACGGGGCTGTGGAAAGACAGCAGTAAATGCAGGGACAACTGCAGGAGAGACCCATGGAGGGACCATGACCCAGTTCCTGGAAGACCACTGCCTTCAAGCTGCCAGCCCAGACCCTCTTCAACAGAAACGAAAACAGCCCTCTGATACCGTGACACCTGCAGGGCTGAGGCCTCGGAGGGCAGCCCCAGGCTCACCGCCCTCAGCTCTTCCTGTGTGAACGGCCGACTTGCCCTGACAGACCACGTGCATCTCAGTGAGTGCTGCCAGGGCCCCCTGGTTCTGCTTTTCCATTGAAGAGTTTCATGGTCTTTGACCCAGAACCTCTAACTGCATAACCAGAGGGGTATTTATAATTTTAGGGGGTGAGGCTTAGAACTATTTACATAACTTTACAACTATCACTCTATGTTTTCTATAGCTTTTAGGGTGCTGTTTTACATTCGCACATTGAATCAGGCCAGGCGCGGTGGCTCACATCTGTAATTCCAGCACTCTGCGAGGCCGAGGCAGGTGAATCACCTGAGGTCAGGAGTTCGGGACAAGCCTGGCCAACATGGAGAAAACCCATGAAACTCTAGAGCCTGAGGCAGGAGAATCGCTTGAACCCGGCAGGCAGAGCAGTGAGCCGAGACTGCGCCACTGTGCTCCAGCCTGGGTGACAGAGCGAGACTCTGCCTCAAAAATAATAATCATAAAATTAAAAATAAAAATATTGAATAAAGCTGGTATACAGTCAGCTCTCCACACCCACAGATTCAACCAACCACAGACAGAAAGTATTGGGGAAGAAAACAAAAAAAAAAGAGACAACAATGAGAAAGAACACAAGGGAAAACAACAGCACGTATCCACGGTTTACACAGCATGGATGTCATGTTCGGTGCTGTAAGGCATCTAGAGATGAATTAAGGTGCAGGGTGTAGGCAGCTGGGCGCCGTGGCTCACACCCGTAATCCCAGCACTTTGGGAGGCTGAGGTGGGCAGATCCCTTGACGTCAGGAGTTTGAGACCAGCCTGGCCAACATGGTGAAACTCCGTCTCTACCAAAAATACAAACATTAGCCACGCGTCATGGCACATGCCTGTAATCCTAGCTACTCGGGAGGCTGAGGCAGGAGACTCACTTGAACCCGGGAGGCGGAGGTTGCAGGGAGCCGAGATCATGCTACTGCACTCCAGCCTGGGCAACAGAGGGAGATTCCATCTCAAAAAAATAAAAATAAAAATGAAAAATAAAGTGCATGGGGGACGCTCGTGGGTTACACACAGATGCTAGACTGTTTCATATCTGGGACTGGACGTCCTTGGATTTTGGTGTCATCTGGGATCCTGGTGACAAAGGAGACCTAAGTGTCAAAGACCACCTCCCCCTTAGCTTCCACACTGCATTTCAATAGGAGAAGTAAAGGCTGGCAGACCGGGCACCACCTTAAGTGCCCTCCTGTAGGTCGCAGGCATGGTATGCAGGAATCTTTCCGGAAGGCACTGATTTTACTTAAACACGATCACACCCCCATCTAAGTCACCTACCCCACGGCTACTCCATGGACCAAGAGCCTTTCATATGTAATTTCTGGAGCTGTAAGCCCAAGACCCTCTCACATGTAATTTCTAGAAGTGTAAGCATTTATAAGGACAGGGATTTTCTTTGTTTGGGGGCTCGGCTATTTGGGGCATCCAGACCCACCACAGCCCCAGGCCAAATAATTCACCACTTCCTTCCCAGTCCGGTGTTTGAGAGGTTTGTTTCGCGGCCCTTCGTGCTTTACTGGAACCAAAATCCTGTGGGCACCAAGGGTCCACTGTGTATTTCGGTGTGAGTACGCGCTGGGAGTCTACTCTGTGCTGCCCCAATGCTGAGCCCGTGGTTCAGACGCCCCATGTTCCACACCCGGTGTACACCCGGTGTACACGTGCGCCCC